GACAATCTCGGCATGGTCGAGCGAGTAAATGGGATAGACAATCGAAAAATTTGGCATGATGAGAGATGCGATAAAATCATGGGTAGCGATGGCAGCATGTTTCCACCGCACATAATAGAGAACACGAGCGAAATCCTTTACGTGTATTCTCAGGAATTGTGCAGGGGTCTACCCTTTCATTATACCGAACAAGTGACCACCTTTGGCATACCTTCTCTAAGGTAAAGCTGATTTGCATTCAATACGTCAATGCAATCACACATGTGTACAAAAGAATATGTAATATTATTTAGAAAACTTTAATTAATTAGATAAAATATATTTTTTGTTATTCTTAAATAATAATTTATTTGTATTCGTTTACTTATAATTAAATTACAATATTTGCATCTATATAATATAATTAAACGATCTTGTTTACGGACGGATTTTATATATTTATTTCATTTTATTTTATTATTATTTTATAAACAAATATCTTGTGAAATAAACTTGTTAATAAGTTCTAGTTGTAAAAAAACCGTAATAGCTTTTACCTATATGTAAAGCTGTAGATTATAAATTAATTGAAGATGAAGTTTCTTTATACACATGTCCAATTTTCTTCCTTCCTCTCAGGTATAAATTCACACCGGACGCGTTCAACTATTCGGACACGCAAAACAAATGCTTTTGCCCGAAAGTGAACGGCTTAAGAGTCTGCCCACCCACGGGACTCTTCAATCTTTCCGCATGCAATTATGGTGTACCCTTGCTCTCGTCGTTTCCACATTTTTATGGCGGTGACAAATCTTTACTGGAGCAGATAGACGGCTTGAATCCTCGACAGGAAGATCACGAGAGCTACGTAGATTTACATCCGGTATGTCTGGACGCTCTATCCCTTAAGTATTATTATGTAAATAGCTATTTGATTGTCGTTGATATTTAAAAATATCAAAAGTATTAACAAAATGCCACTAATTAGCTTTTAAGAATTAATTTTCAAAGTATATTATATTTTATAATTATGTATATATTATATCTAATTTTAAAATTAAATATATATAAATAATAATTAAA